AAATCAGAAAGTTCCCAGAGATTCGAAGCGGATCATTGGTGCGTTGGTTGCTTGCTCTAGCCGCTATACATTAACCAGTCAGGTGAAAATATCGAGACCGGTGAAAATATCATAGTTTATCAAGGAAATTCCAGACCGTGAATTTTACAGAAAGACATTTAAATACCCAAAAAAGACTGATCTTATAAACGGGCGGTATGTAGTTTTTAGTGAGTTATGAAATTTTTAAAGATATATTATAATCTTCGTCATGAAATCTTTCTCACCAAAAAAATTCATCTAGGCGAGACCGAAAGCTTTCATGGCTATGGTTGATGGCTATATTTTGAGTTATATCGATGGTATGAAAGCCCGTTATGGTAACCTTGAAAATTTTTACTGTGGTCTACAGACTACCGGCCTGGGAGCTTTCGGACCAAATTTTTGTGCCCGTTGAAATTTATTGATTTTGTCCCACTTTTTGTCAACGTACTTTCCGGGTGTTTTATTTCGGTAACTTTTGCAATGAATGTATAGCAATGAATGTATAGCAATGAATGTAGCAAAAGAGCAATGAATGTATAGTGACAGATTGGCTACGGTATCAGTGCTGTGAATCGTGATCTGTCAGTGCCATATCAGTACCAGCAAGTGAATATCAGTGACAGTTTTTTTTCACAGCGCTTCTTTACTGAATCGTTCAAAATCAAAAATCTAAGCAGGCATACACAGTCAAAAAATGAAAAAAGTTTGATCAAAAAGCCAAAAAAAAAGGCTTTTTATTCCAAAAAATGTCAGTGCCTGGCATTTATTTTTTTTACTGCGAGTATCAGTGCCGTCAGTGCTTGAGATTTCTCAGACACTGTGGCCACCCTGAGTGAGTGCTTTTATATATGATGAATTGTATCTTTGTTTTTTAAGGAAAATGTCTTAAAATTTGTTAACGTTCAATTTGGATTTGTGCCGTTTGACTTTTGATTTTTTAAATGTTCAATTCTTCTTTTCCCGTGTTAAAAGGAAGGCAAACTCTGCTATTGACTAGCAAAAATCTAAAGGTCACGAAAAACGTGATCGATTTCTAGTTTCCAAAAAAGAATTTAATTATCAGATTTCCTAGGGGAATTAAAAATTTACCTATTGATCCAGTTTTTTTTTTCAAATTGGGTGAATTTCAGCAAAAAAGCATCGATTGTAAATTGATCTTGAAATTCAAAGAATTTTAAGGGCACACATTTTTTTCTCTAAATGGCGAAAGTTGAAGTTATTTCATAAAACTTTAGATTTTTGATTTCATTTTAATCTGACTTCATTTCTGTTGCTAAAAGGAGGCAAACTCAACTATCGAGCAGCAGAAGTGTAAAAGTCACAAAAAACGTGATCGACTTCTAGTTTTGAAGGGAAAATCATTATCAGATTTCCCAGTGAAAACAATTTTTTTTCTATTGAACCAGTTTTCTCAAATTGAGTTAATTTTATCAAAACTTAATTTGTTCAAAACTTCAAGGCCTGTACTATGAAATTCGAAAGCTAACGGTTTTGAAAATTTTTTTTATGTACCCCTACGTTCATAAATTTTTTCGAACTGTCAGTTGGCTATCTTTTTGGTTGCTTACTCTCTGATTTTTTTTAAAGTGCGTGGAAGTAGTTTTCATTTTATCTAGTTTGGTTTAGGTTTGAGCAATTTCATTTGAAATTGATTCACGGTATTGTTTTGGTGAAATTTTCTAAAAAATTTTTAAACTAATTTTGACTTGACTGTTCGCTATACGAAGATGTGTTTTTTTCCTCAACGGGCACCTTTTTTTACTGTAATTACCCTTGCGATAAGCAAGGGTATACCAATCGGGTACTATACTTTTCTCCCGTAAATAACTTTGTTCACAGAACTCATTTCCTGGATTCATTCATCTACTGGGTCTTTCTGTTGCAACAGATATATTGTGAGCAAGTTCTCATTTTTAAAGATCCGTTCTAATCGAACTTGCTTTTTTTGTTGGTTAAGATTTTACCAACGCGGTTTTTTTGGCTCAAATTTCTTAGTCTTGTGTTATATCAATTGAGTGGCCTCTTATTTCGTCACTTGAGGACCGATTTTTTTTGTGTGTGCGTGTGTGAGTGTTCTGAGGAAATTTTTTATCAGCTTTGAATTTTTTTCGGCATTAATGGTTTCTGCTCAGGTAGGTTCAGCTTTGTTACCCCTCGTTAACCCTAAATTCTAATTCCATCATTTTTCGTAATATCGTCAGTCCGTTTCGATTCTAGTCGAGACCTGGTTATTTTGCAAGCTGGAAATTTTTGGCTAATTTAACTTATTGTCCGTCTGCTTGTTTTTTTTTCCGGCTTAGCTCAGCATTAAGGTTTTTTAAATTCGGTATTTTTTGTGTACGTGTGTGTGTTCTGTGGGAAAAAAAGACTTGGATATTTTTTATCTGCTGAGAATTTTTTTGGCATTAAAGGTTTCTGCTTAGCTATTTTCGGCTTGTAAATCATAAATTGTTTATTATAAATACGAATTCAATCAACCATCTGGCGTAGAGTTAACACAAACGTTTGAAGTGGCAAAGGCGGGCGGTTCGAATCCGGGTGGGACTTGTTTCTTTCCAAACTAGAGTTTTTTTTTGCTTTTTGTACTATCGTCTGTCTATTTTGATTCCAGTCATTTTAATTCCAGTTGAGACCTGTGTTTTCCAAATCGAATTTTTTTCGCTAATTCAGATTATTGTCCGGCTGCTTGTTTTTTTTCGGCTTACCCTGCTTTACGTTTTTTTTTGAAAATGCGGGTTCTTTCAACCATTCCGAACGCTTTTTGTAAAGTTTCTAATAGTAGAGGTAATTTTGTTCTGGATATTTTGGGCGTTTGTTGCATTTTTTAAATCAATTTTAATGACAAAAACGATTTTTTTTCTTTTCATTTCTCTTTTAATTTTAATCATAATTATTCATTTTTGTATCGCAAGTGGTTTGAAGCTTAGCTCCACCTCTGTGTTTAATTTGTTGTGATCCAGCTGGCTTATATCTCTGCAAGTTCTTTTTTGTGGTAAATGTTTGAAACTTTTCTTGTTTTGAATTATGTTTTTCAATTTTTGTTTCTGATCTTAATAGCAAGAAATGGATAGAGCCTTTTCATATCAGCAATTATTCTTGTTTGTTTAATTTTTTTTTCTCAAATTTTATTGGCTTTTTTATTTTTTGTTACTTGACTGCCTGGTCGTCATCTAACAAAAATTAAAAAACGCCAGGCAAAATTTTGGAAAAAATGAAGGAATAGAAAAAAACAAATGCACAACCAAAAACAACTGGTGATTTTTGCCTTGGAAAAAATTATAACCATGTCATAATTGTCCGGATCAATAATTTCGAGTTGTCGGCAAGGATATCCAGGGGCTGTTCAGGTAGCACAGCATTTTCCGACCATACTAGTATGTTTTATTTTCAATTTTATGTTTTTTTTTGCGAGTTGTGTGATAAAAGGATCTGATGAAAACCTAGAATTTAGACACAATACTCAGTCATAGTAAGAAGACAGAATAAGGCAATGGTTTTACTTAAAAAAACAAAAAATCAAAAAAAAATTCAAAACAATTTTCTGAAAGATTCATTTTTTTGCAGAAATTTTGAAGCTTTCATTCCAAAGATGGCGCTAAAAAACTTCGAAAAAAATTTTTAATGGAGTTAAACTAATGTATTAGGGAATATTCTTCTACAATAAGCTTGCTCGCTTGCTTTACTCGCTCGAAATTGACGAAAACTCGAAAATTTCAAACCGGTTTTTCTCGACACTGGGACAACTTATTGAAATTTAAAAAAATATATCGTTCAAATCGCGGCTGAAAGGAATTTAATATGATATTTTGTTCCACCCGTTACGATAATTTTTTGCAGAAAGTATTTGTGGTTCAAAAACAAATAACCCTGCTCGCTCACCATATTCGCTCAAAATTTTCAAACTGATTTTTCTCGACCCTGAAATCTTTTTTTATGTCGTTCAAATGACGACTGAAAGCGCTTTTATATCGCTGGAATCTTTCGAATGGTTTTTTGGTACCTGATTTTGCGGAGAAAACTAAAACAACCGAATACAAAATTCCTCGCCATTATCAATTGTCGGAACAAAAACCGAGTTTTTTTTTCTGTTCGAGAGGTGCTTTCACTATTTGTTAGTGCAATGGTCTGCAATCTTGTCGATCGTTTTCTTTGTTTTAATTCGCAATCATGACGTACAGTATCACCGTGTACAATGGTGAAATTTTTTTGAAAGCCATTTTATGCGAAAGTAAAGATTGTTCCGACAATTAAACATGGAGGAGTTTTGTATTCGGGTGTGTTTTAGTTTTTCTTTTGTTTTTTTTGTATTTCAAGCAAAATCAGATAGCACAAATAATCATCAGACAGGGTCGAGTGATGCATCATATTAAAGCCTTTCTAGTGATTCGAACGACATTTAAAAATTTGAAATGTTTGAAAACCGCTTTGAAATGTTTGATTTTTCGTCTTGTTAAAAGGAAGCTTCATATAGCTCTTCTCTGGCAAAAATTCTTTCAAAAAAAATTAAATTTTTTCGTGCAAAAAATTTTCTACACGTTCGTACAGTTGTATCATCAAACTACCGGCTATCTGTGTTTTGAATAGTTTTTGGTTTGGGTAAAAAAGTTCGAGAAAACCATCTGAAACCTTTGTTGTGAGTGATATAAAGCTTTGAATTCAATCAATTTGAATATCGACCATTTCTTTAGTTTTAATTTTCTTGGCTGCTTGGGTTAAAGTTTTGTGCAGCCCTCAGTGATTGTCGATAGTAACCTTTTTTTTCATTCATACTTTTTTATCACTGAATTCTATTGTAGCTCTATGCTTGCTATTTTTGGATCCGTAGTTCTTCTTGTTGAAATTCGGTTTGTTTTGGTGAATTCCCAAGATCGAAAATTGAATGAATGCTATACTAACCATGTTTTTATTGGTTCCGATGTTCTCACGACTATCACAATTACAAAATGGTTCTAAATGCTAAACTGGGACTGTTTCAGAAATTAGAAAATACAAAGGTGACCCCACTACTCCAGTTAAAGACCGACAGGATGCACATGACAAAGACTCTGGAGTCGCGGTAGACGATGTGCATCCCGTGTTGAAGGGCGGTAACATTGAACAGCATGTGGATAATCATGAGCCTGAAGTGAACAGTGGTGGTGACGCAGTGTCGTCGGTTGCTCAGAAGGGAACGGGAGAGGGCGAAGGGAAAAAGGAAGATAGAAGTGCAATTTTGGCACAGTTTTTGGCCCAACAGGTGTGTTCCTGTTTCAGTCTCTTTATGAAGTGATGGGAAGAAACTATAGATTTGGGTGTTTTTTTTGTATCTCCTTAAGTAAGTAAGAACGAATGTTTGTTTTTCAAGTTTGAACGGGCATAAATGGGGTTTTGAGGATTAATCTCTTGTTTCAAGATCCAATGCTGCTAAGGAGAAACGCTGATTTTAGAAATGACGCGAAAAAAGCTGGCTGAAGTTTTCAGGATTCATATTGAAAAAAAAAACCAATTGATCCTGTCAACCGGAAAAGAAATTTAAAATTCAAAGAGCATTTACGTCATTTTTCAAACATTTTTTTCTCATTTTTTTAAAATTGTAAGTCAGTTTTTCCAGTTTCCATGAGTTCATTGACACTTCCAACTGTCTTGACTATGTTTCTGTGTATCAAGAATACTTAGTATATATTTTCGTTTTTGTTCTATATTTTGTTTTATGCAGACTTTGCCTGAGGCGGGCTCATCGGACGAAGAGGACTCTTCATTCCACTTTGCGCCCAAAGACCATTTCGATGATGACCAGACAGACGACGAACCCATCGCCAACAAAGAACAGCCCAAACACCCACTGGTGACCTCGGGTCAGTTAGTTTCCGATCATTGTATGCCTTAAAATTGAAAATTTTCTTCTCATTCATTGACTGAAGAGGCACGAATTTTATTTCGGAATCTGCGATTCAATGATGGAAAAGGCAGGCGTGTGTTTTGTTTTAATAAAAGCAGTTCAAAATGTTATTTTTTTGTTGGGAATTTCATATATTTTGCATGTTTCAGACGATAAACCCGCAAGCATTGACGATAATAAAAAAGGCAAGTGTGCCGTGGACAAGTATTATGGGGAGGATGGGAAGGAGGTTGCTTTCGACGCAGATGACAGAAAAAAATTGAACGAATTGCTGAATGAAATAGAAAAGATAGCCGAGAGGTGAGTTGTGATAAATTTTCAATAAATGAGGGGGAGGTTGTCGTTTTTTTAAAGAAACTAGATATTAATTTGCGTTGTTAAACATTGCGGATACGTTATTTAACAAAAAAAAATTTCGCGTCAATTGCGTTGGAGCCTATTGCATGTCGTATATCATTCTGAAATTTTCTTTTTTTATTAATTGTTAGTGTCTTCAACCTTCATTCATAATTTCAAATATCATTCTCCTTATTTGCGTAGTTATTTGTAAAGCAATGTTTGGATATTTACTTTGATTTGATGTGCAATGCTTAAGGATGTTTGGTAATTCTATTTGCAATGGAGGGTTTATTTACAGGGAAGGACGATTTGAGAAAAATTAATTCTTCGTAAGTTCCACTGTTCTTGTACATCTTGTACTGTGTCCATGCCTAAATGCCTGCTGTACCTGTTTTTACATGGAATCTGTAACTGCATACTGTAAAAGTCAAAATTGATAATTCCAAGGTAGTACAAAAATAGTAGCTGTGCTTATAAAATGTTAATGTCCCTGAATAAAAAAAGTTGTTTTCGGAAAAAGCATGCGCTTTCAAATTGCGTTTGGTTACCTGCTGAAAATGACTGTGATTACTTGGTGAAAATGATGGAAATAATTTTTAATGCTAGCTGTTTTTCGGGACTCGATAATTCGGGGAACACTTATCGTTTATGTACCTAAATGTCTAGCATGGTTCTGGTGGCGCACGCTTCTTTGAGTATCAAGTTTCAGAACCCTGGTTTTAATAGAGTTTCTGACCGCGACAGAAATGATTGATTGCTTAATCATAACGTTGCTTAAATGAACATGTTATAATTATCAAAAATTGTTTACTGTCTACTGTTGTCATTTATCTATCAATGTAAAACGCAATCTTTTACTGGATCATCCATACAACTCCACTACACCCAGCCCCCTCCAAATCGATTTAGGGGTGAGAAAACGAATTTTTCTCAAGATAATTCAGAATAGTATGTTATATCACCTGCATAATAGATTTAATTATCAAAACATAGCTAAAACGTCAATGTAACTAGTTTTGTTGCCGTCAAAAAATAATTGCTCCGACCATTTGAAAAGAAGGAAGGAACTTAGTATTCGGGTGTGTTTTAGTTTATTTCCTTGTTTTCCACGCAAAATTAGGTACCACAAATAATCATCGGATCGGGTTGAGTAATATATCATAAAGCCCTTTTAGTTGTGATTCAAAGGAAATTAAGAAATTTTGAAAGATTTTTTTCAGTGTCCAGTAAAATCGGTTTGAAATTTTGGGTCTAATTTCAAGCTAATAAGGTGAGCGTGCAGGCTTACAATAGTTTAAGCTTTTTTAGCTTATTTGTGCTTGATTTAAGCCGCGCAAACTTAGTTTTAATCGAGTAAAGTTAGTTTTTGGAGTTTTTAGCGTCATTTTGGCAATCAAAACTTAATTCGAAAAAATCTGCGATTTGAAAATTATTTTTTTACGATTTTTTCCTTTTTTTCTAGTAATTCTTCTAAAAAAAAACTGAATTCCAATTGGCCTTTCTAACTATGACTGTCGAATATGCCTTATTTCTATTTTTTCGCTCAGTTTTTTGTCACACCACGCAGAAAAAACGGCAGTAGTTTGAAAAACAACGTTTTTCTGTTTTTTTTTAAGACTGGTGGGAACATTCTGTGCTACTTGCACTGACCCCCTGTCATTGTTACAGTTTCCGCATGTGTTAAATGCATATTTTATACAGCGTTTTTTTTTCAGAACTAATACATGCTTCGGCGGACATTCTAGTTCAGTCAGCTAGGGGGGTTGTTACGGTTGATCCCTTTTTATAATTCCAATATCAAATGTCCAAGACTTCTATTGTATAACAAAAGCATCAAAAAGAATGAAACTAAACAAGGATAGCCTTAGCACAGAAAATTCCGACCACGGAAACAATTTATTTTTTTTTCACAAGTTGTGATGATTTTTTGGTTTCTATTAGAAAGATAATCAAAAAACAAAAACATTTTTGTTTAAGTTTTTTCAAGTCCTAAATAAATTTTTTAAAGTTTTTAAAGAATTTTGGTTGCCAATAAGGCGCTTAATTAAGCTGAAAAAACTAAGCTTGCTAGGTTTTTCTCTTAACTGCGGAAGTTTTTGGAATTTATAAGTCGGAATCAAATCACCACTGCAAGGGCTGCAATATGATATATCGCTCGACCCCTTCAGGCGATTGTTTATGGTACCTGATTATTCTTGGAAGACATAAAACTAAAACATCCGAACACAAAACTCCTCCCATTTTCAGTGGCGGGAACAAAAAATAATAAACGAAGTTTTACGATTTCATTCAAAAAGCAACCAACGCATATCTCAATAATTTGCATGACAATTTCTATGATTTTGAAGTTTTATCCTATGAGACCTTTTGCGCCAGTTTCGTTCAGTCTAGATGATAGATTATCCTAATGGTATCATGTTGCAAATTTGTTCATTGTTTTCATTCAAGTTATGTCTCTTCACATGTGTGGTTGAAGTGGTACTTGGAAATATCTTTTCCAAACTGATGTCTCAATTAGTATAAAATTCCAATATTCCTCAATTTGTTATGAGCTTCTTTTGTTGTTGATGAAAATAGCTTAAAATAAAAACCACATGAAAAATTTTAGTTTAAGTATTCGTTTTGAGGCTAAACAGTATGGATTTCCGGAGAATAAAATCAACTCAAATCATGCAACCGATTTATAACTTGATCGAATAGTTAATACCGGAGAATGTTGAATGAACTGATTTTTTGAGCTTTTTGTTGCCCAATTGAACGAATGCTGCTATCATGTTTAGTAGAAATATCATTGCGACAGTTGAAGCTATTTTAGTAGTTGACAGTTGACAGGCAATTGATAACAATTTAATTTCAATGGATTTGAATTGGTTTCTATCATTTGATTTGCAGCAACTACTTAACGAACTAGTAATGTACTTGTACCAGGATTCGGTTGCACGATAAGTTGATGGTAACTGCTGCAATAGATATTTTGTTTTCTGTCTCGTTGGACATTCTTTCTAGTCATTAGTACCATGCAAATATAAACAGTTTAGAGTTTCCAAATGGAGAGCAAACAAAATGTTTTCTACCATCCTTGTATGTGACATCACAGTAGGTTCCCTCGAGATAGAAGGGCCAAATGAACGAAAGATATATAAACCAATCAGGATTCAGTATTCAGAAATTTGAAAGAAAATGGTAACAATTCAGTAAGAGTTGTCGATAATCTAAAGAGTTCACTTGGTTTGAAGTTTTCGGCCATTTGGACTTTCGGTAATGAGAGTAGTTCCCTGATATATGTTAGAAGAACTAGACAATGTCCCTTCAACGAAGAAAGTAATTTATGCCTCTGTTATCTGACGTATAACGAAGGTTCTGTTTGATGAAAATTTGATGCGAAATAGGGCTTTAAGCGCAATTGGGATCCTTAAATTGAAACAGTTATACTACGGTGTTTGCATAAAATTAGGTATTTGGAACAAAAAGCGAAGTCAAATGAATGCATTTTTTTGGTAGTGAAGAAGATCCGTTTTGATGCTTTTGCATACAATGTTAAAGGGTTGTATACAAAACGAAAATTTTTGGCGTTGAATGCAAAATTAGCCTCACAACGAAAAAAGAAATTTGGAGGCGTTTTTTTAAATATGGTGCTATAACATAGTACATGGCTCCCTGATTAGAATTCGCCCACTATTATTTCATGTTATCTTGTCTATAATAGTTAGTCAAGTTTGTTCAAATCAAATCTCTTAATAAATTTGTACTTTGTTAAACTGCATGTTGATGTCAATCGGACTGGTATTGTGTTTGTCCTTAAACTCTTTGAACCTCGAATGCGATTTTACAATGTTCGATATGAACCACTTCACAATTTAAAATTGGGTTTGCACTAATAATGGTTGCAAACCTTAAGTCATGGATTTGGCGAACTTGCAGATTAAATGCTCGTAAAGAAGCTTTGCAAAAAAGGCCGTTGGAGAATAGCAAATTTTTATTTCTTCGTAGTTTTCTTACTTGTAAATTTCTGTTTTTTTAGCCAAGATCTTTTCGAAAATGCCCCGCCTGCGAAGAGCTGAAGAGACTTTTTCAAGGAAACGGACCGGACAAAAACAGCCTCTCTGACCTTCGGAAAACATAATTTAATCATTCAAAGATTTTGTTGTTTGGTTGGCTGCGTGCCGTAAATATCTTTCATTTAGTTCAATCATTCATAGCTCAATAAATTATCAAATTTTAATGTACATTTGCTTAGAGTTTCTAATAGTTTTTGTTCATCAAGAGTTATTTGACTGGGAGATAATATTGTTTTTTTTTTATTTTAATCAAGACATATGTTTCATTTGAAGAAACGTTTAGTCAGCCTTAAGAACAGTGTTTTTTAAAGAATCAATGATAAAGGCAGTTTTATCTCCTGCAGTGAAACCTAAGTTTGCCGATATTGTGTCATAAACGTTTTTGTGGTTTCGTTCGATTTTGACTTGGTTATGTTATGGGATGTTCAATTTTCCACGAATTACTAATTGGTATCAGAATTTGAATTGCTTGACCTTTCCTTGCTATGTAGATGTAGACAATTGTTTTGGTTTTTACATTTTAAGCTGTATAACCTGTTCTATGCTGTGCTGGTCATTTTGCTTCGACATTTATTTTTTGCTCATCAAAAAAGTTCCCGGTGTTTGATGTAACGAGCAAAACTACACCAGTTTACAATTATTAAGTACCCTTAACATTCCTACCTTGGTGAAAGTGCTCTAAATAATTTTTATATGATGAATTTCGATCGTGAGATGTCTTAATTAAAAGTTTGAGATATCTAGCTTTAAAATAAACGTTTTGAAATGCCGTACGTACTGGGCAAATTAAAAGGAAATTAAGGACATATTTGCTTACCTTGACTTATAATATAATACGTTGAGTATCTATAACAGAAGATACTAATAAGATTATCCGTGAGCATATATTCCACCACAAAGGTATTTATTATTTAAATGCAATACCAAATGCTCTATGGGCGTATTAGGCAGTTTTTAGAGAGGATAGTGGTTAACAAAAGTTGTTAGGGACCATGATTATGTAAAAAGCATGAATCTTCGAGAAGCTTTTTCAATCCAATTAATCTACTATATACTTGAATGTTTCTGTCATGCATCTCGCCAGGGTTATACCATCTTAATGCTGTTCTTGCATTGAACGACAGAGTTTTTGGACGCATAAGCTGTATCGTATGTTGCAATGCTTAGAAAAAATTGCGATTTTCCAGTTAATGGAATCCATTCGCACGGCAAGGCAGGCCAGCCTAAATAAAAGGCAGCTCAAAGCGATGCTGGTCGGGGTAGCGCAAAGCAAGGCAGCGCAAATGCAAGGCATAGCGGGCAAGATATGGTAGTGTTAGGCAGGGCAGCGCAAGGCAAGAGGGACGAACAAGGTAAGAGAGGGCAGGACAGGGCAGCATAAGGCAGGACAGCGCATGTCAGGGAAGTGCAAGGCAGGAGAGTGAAAGGCAAGGTAGCGCAAGGCATGACAGGGCAGCGGAAGGCCAAATCCTCTATAGACGCAAGGTTTCACCGATGTTTAAGAGTAATGAACATAGTGAATACTCTTATATAGGTCTTGGTGATTTTTTTTTCAGGAAAAAGTCTTAAATTTTGTTCAGGCTCAAATTTGATTTTGCTCAGTTTATTTTGTGATTTTATAAATTCCAGTGGCTTTCCATTGTTAAAAAGAAGGCAAACTCCACTATCGAGCAGCAAAAGTGTAAGTCACGAAAAACATGAGCGACTTCTAATTTCAAAAAAGGAAAAAAATCATCAGATTTTTCCATGAAAAAAGGTTTTACTTATTGATCCAGTTTTCTAAAATTGGTTTAGTTTCAACAAAAAATGTCCATTTTAAATTGTTCTACAAATTTAGAAAGTTAAAGCAAGCTATTTTGTTCTTCGACGTTCAAAAATTGAAGGTTTTTGAAAAAAAAAAAAACAAGTCAGTTTCTTTTTCAGTTTCCTTGCTTCTTCGCTCTTTTCCAACTGTTAGATGGCTATGTTCATAGGTAAAAATGGTTAGCGAAATGTTAGGGACTATGTTTAAGCGGACCATGATTATTCCAAAAGATTTTTGCAAACTAAGCGAAAGAATTTCGGCACGTTCAAGCTACGTTGTATGTTGCAATGCTTTTCAAACCTTTACCAGCTCATGAATGACAACTGCAAGGCAAGGCATGGAAGCCTAAAGAAAGGCAGCTCAAAGCAAGACTACGAGAGCTACGGCAGGGCAGCACAAGGTAGGGCAGCCTAGAGGTACGTAGCTCAAGGCAAAGCAGGCCAGGGCAAGGCTAAGCAGGGCAGCGTAAATCATAGCGGGGCGCATAAGGCAGAGCAAGGCAAGGCAGGGGCAGCACAAAAAGGACAGAATAGATTGAAGCAAGGCAGGGCAGCGCGAGACGGCATCACAAGACAGCAGCGCAAGGCAGGATAGGATAACAAGCGCATGGCAAGTTAGTATAGTGCTAGACAGAAAGGCAAGAGTAGGCAAGGCGGGTCAAAGCAGGGTACCAGTAAGCAGGACAGAGCAAGTCAACGCAGCGCTAGGCAATTTAAGGCAGGGCGGCGCAAAGCAGGGTACCAGTAAGCAGGATAGAGCAAGTCAACGCAGCGCTAGGCAATTTAAGGCAGGGCAGCACGAGGCAAGGCCAGGCAGGGCAGAGCAGCGCAAACAAGGCAGAGCAATTCAGGGCATCGCAAGGCAAGGCAGAGGTGGACTGGCCTATGGCAGGGCAGCGCAAGGTAAGGGACGGCGAGGCAAAGTAAGGAAGGGTAGCGCAAGGTGAAGAAAGGCAGGACAGGTGAGGTACAAATCTTGATCGCTTGACCGATAAACCACCATGTTCCAAGTTGGGATCTCTTGCAAAAAAATTGAAGCTAGCTTTGCTTATAAATTGCTTAAAACCTGAAACCTGCTTTTGCAAAACAGTGAAGCCGTGAAAGCAAAAAATATACTACTATTTTTTGTGTGATAGTTTGTTTGAAAAAACCTATTTTTTGTAAACCATTGCCAGCTGTGCAAACAACTTGATTGTTCAATTATTTTTTATTGCTCCAATAGCTTGATTCAAAAAATCAACGGATTCAAAAAATCAAGTTGCAATGTTTTCTTCCTTGCAACTTTTTCCACATTTTGAGGTGCTGACAAGAGGTGTGCCGATGTGCTTAGTTTCTCGGAATTTCAAATTTTACTGCCTGTTCAGAGAAGTAATTTTTTGCTGCTGTGTTGCTCACGAAAGCAGAAGTATCAGAACTTGTATAATTCAGCGATCAAAAAGCTCAAAAATTATTCATTTTTTTCGCAGTTTTCCCATCGAGATGTCTCACAAACCATCGCTCGAATAATTATAAGCGAACTGGGTTGATTTTCTTGAAATGCCTGATCACGGTTACAAAACCTCAAAAAGTGTTTTTGCCTATGTCCAAGGAAGTAGGGCTTGTTCTTCAAGAAAGAATTTAGATTAGAATAAATCAAGCTATAAAATGAGTTTAATGCCTATATAAGCAGTTTCTGAAGATTTTGAATCCAATTTCCAGCACGAAAATCAAATATTCATTAACACATGACTTTTTTTCCGAGTTTTCGGTTTTTCAGGAGAATTTTCGTTTCGATTTTGCTATGAGCTACAGCAATGATTGTAGTACACAAACCAGTAATTTTTCTAGTAGAAGTTTTATCCTTGATACACACACAGAAAATCTCTTTTTCGAACAGTTTCTGTGATGGGAACTTTTTGTTAGCTGTACAGGAAACAGCTATCATTGTTGAGTTGTTTATTTGAATTTTTTTAAAATTGATTAAATGCCCTAATTGCACTTTTTTGAAGCTCGATTTCTGATAATATACCTTATGATCGCCAATAGGTAGGGAGACGTTGTCGATTCCAAATGTTAATTTAATTTTAATTTTTTCTTTTGTTTTTCGTTTGTTTGTTGGAAATTAGTTGGGTTTTGATTCTTTTTCCACAGGATAAGTGCAATTGATCTGAACCAGACTGACAAAAAAATGTTTCCCGAGACCCGAAACGCATCTAATTCCCCCAAACATATGTCAAACATCCAACAATCGTTGTTTAATAGCTCGAAAAAGTCATAGAATTTTACGGCAAAAATCTAAAACAAATCCGATATAACCTTGTTTCTCTGAACACAACCGTTGATATATACACAAAGTACTTTCACAAACATAAATCTAAAAGATGAAATTTAAATTGATTTAGCCTGGATCTACATGTTACTAGAACATAACTACTACAGTCCGATTTTTGTTCGACCTTCACTGTTCATTGACCTTAGCCGCTTAAATTATTTCCTCAGTCATGATTACGAAAATAAACTTTCCAATATGAAACCTATCAGATGCAGTAAACCATTCTGACGTCAAGAACTTATTTTACAAATTAGATTGCTCCCAAGCTTATCTTTGCGCACAGATGGCTGATTATCTACCAGTTGCACTACTATCTTTTAAATATGCTTCCCAAACATGCATACAAATGCCTAGTACAAGGGCTGAGTAGGTCCGTCACAGGTTTTAGTTCTTTGTATGTACATGCATTGACCCCTGATTTTGCCGCTGAGGTATATACACAACACTTGGACGATCTAGCAGTTTGATGAATTACAGTTAGTGAATTCGTCAACAATCTCTCAAAAATCTCTTCTTAGTTTAGAAAATCAGGTTCAATTTTATTGTCAGCAAAATGCCATTTTTTTGTGTAAGCTAAATGATTTTTCCGAGACAGAAAACGCACCAAGTTCTTGAGCAAACTAAATTTTCAAAAATACTGAAACAAAGAAATCATCCTGACAATTTAATGATTTTTTCCGTTATCTCCGTATAAAACTACAACAAAAAATGTGTACTTTTCTGCCAATTTTCAGAAAAGACGCCGAGCTAGTGACTGATCAAACTCATGAAAACACTGGACACTGTTAACAATGATTTCATAAAAGTATTACAGTTAACAAGTAGAATTCCAAAACCTGGAAAAGAACTTGTAATACTTACAGATGCTAGTTACGACCCAGCAGGTTTCGTCATTATGATAGAAGATTATATGAGAAATAACACAGATGAAACATCCGCACACTAAATCTTACGCACCATTTTATTTTTGGTCTAAATTGTTAAATTTAGCCCAACTAAAACTGACGATCCACAGTTCTTGGCTTTGTTTTTTTTGCCTTTTCCGTATTCATTTGAGGCGCAGAAGAACCGATAGCAGTGGTAACTGATAAGCATCTCATTGCAATTCTTCGTTGCAAAAAAATTACCCAGCAAT